ATACTTTTCAATTTATGCTGTGATATTTAGTTTCAGAAGGTTCTCTCTTGCATGTCTATGTTGGAACCTACTATCCTGAGAGTTTGGCAGGTTAAAGGTCAGAGAACATCGACCCAACAGTAGCTAAAACGATCATGTCCCTCTCATGCCGAACATCCTCCAGTGTTTCCTACATGATCTTCTCACCTCTAGTTAACATACTCATTTTACAGAGTGGTTTAAAGTCACACTGGCTCTGGTACTCTTTCTGTAACTTATTTCTTTCCAAAGAGCACACAGTCCTGTTCATAGTTATGTATTTGTGCAATTGTTTGATCAATTGCCTAGAGTGTCTTACATCTAAGCTCCATCACCTGAAAACTGAAAATACAAGTTCTGGTGTTACAAATGTAACAGGTTACTAACTTGAGGAACAAGAGCATATTCCAGTGGTCAGTGAAAGGCTTATTTTAGTGAAAATGCTAGAGTCACACTACCATTGTGTGGGGACCCATAAGCAGCACCTGCTGACCCCTGGTCTGACACTAACTGGTGACATACTCAACCAGAAAGTACTCCTCTACAGCCCTGCTTTTCTGTACTTTTTTTTTTTTAAGCAAGTACACATCTATTTCTGTACATACTCTTATCACACCTTAAAAGTCAAATAGCTTTTGTCTAGAATATTAATACAGTCAAAATTGTGTTTGTTAATGAAGAAACTGGCAAACATTAATCTAACAAATGGGAATCAATAGGCTAGCTGCGTGGTATTTCTCTTTTCCTTCTGTCCCTTCTCTTATGAAATCAGAAAAGGCTTCATTTTAATACAATGTAATAGCAAGGAATATGCTCTTGTTCCTCAAGTTAGTAACCTGTTACATTTGTAACACCAGAACTTGTATTTTCAGTTTTCAGGTGACGGAGCTTAGATGTAAGACGTTCTAGGCACTTGATCAGCCACTGCAGAGAGCACTGCACACCTTCTCTCCCAAAGGACCTCAGTCAACTCCTGCCCTGAGTTTCTGGCATTTCCATAAGGATGATGTTTCTAAATGGCCTTCTGTATCAGGAGCTTTGCTGCTATGCTTTAGGGAGGAAGTGTTTTCTCACAGGAGCCCCACTAGTCAGGCACCATGTCTTCAGGCCTCAGGAGTGGCTGAAATGGAGGCAAGTTCAATCAGAAACACAGGCAGTGAATATGTGGTCGACACAGGGCCTATCTCAGAAGAATTCGAAGAGGAGAAGATGAAGATTATCCGATGAGGTGTCACCTGGAAAGTCAGCATCACACATAGCTGGTGCCTAGAAACATAAGGTTAAGTCACTGTGACACTCTAATGTCACCTATGGCCCCTGCCAACGAGGGATCTGTCACAGGAAGATGAATGTAGTCTGCCAAGTTCGTGTGGAAATGTCCCCCCAAGGATTCAGTCAGGAGTCCCTGGGTCCATTCCAATTCAAGCCTGAGATGAACTCTAGCTTCGGAGTGTTCAGGGTCCGCAGCCCACAGTAGTGTGTCACATGGAAAGACCCAGGGGGATTGACCAGATTGCTCCAGGAAATGAAATGACCGATAACTCATAGTTTCTGTCTCTTTCCTGTCAGTGGGTGATAAATAAACCGCCCACAGTCAGTCCCTGAAATACAGAGTCAATACACAGTCTATTTTGTGACTCTAGATAAATGGTGTTCCAACTTTTCTCAAGATTACAGGCAAATACCCTTCCACACACACCTATACCAACCACCACTATTACTGTTAGTATTTATACAGTAGTAACAGGGAGCCAGAAGTTGAGTTAAAAGCACAAGGAAAGCCCAAGTTTCCTGTTCTCAAGAGCTTAGAATCTAGATTTCACTTGTGCTGATATAAATGTCCTTAAGATAAGAATATTATTATTATTATGATCAAGTTAAAAAGCACTTAACTTTGTGGTAGACATGACTTTAAGTGCTTTATGTATTTAATTCAACTTACTCCTCTTAATAACCTTTATGATCCTCTGAGGTAGGTAAAATTTTAATACTTGTTATACAGATAAAGAAAGCAAGCAGAAATATCAACAGGTTAGATAAAACTTGCCTGAGGTCATAGAGCTAGGAAGCAGTGGATCTGGGGTTCAAATCCATGTGTCTGTCTCCAAAGATCAGTATATGAGGTACTCTCCTAGACCTCTGTCATCTCATGGCACACACAAACTAATTACTATCATTCTGCGGCACACCAAAAAAAATATATTATATTTTTTGCCAAGCTGACAAAAAAATAGGTATAATTTTGATTCATTCACACCAGACAGCTAGTGTTGTGTTGGATGTTGTCATTCTCTTATTTGACAATCTAAGGGAAAAGAGGTAAGTGCCCCTGACTAGATAGTCAGGTATTGCATATCTTAAAAAATCCTTGTGGCATACCAGTTGAAAATCATTGCCTAGACAATCATAGATATAATTTAGTAAATATGTCCAATGGACCAGCCAACTGTGCTGTTACCTTACATGCATTAGCTTACTTAATGCCCACAATTATGATTAACATTATTTATAAATGCTTTCATTTGCTCTCTCCCACATTTCTGTAATATTAGTATTATTTTTACCTAAAAGATAAAGAACCTGAGGCTTGGAAAGACATGAATTCTTCTAGGGTTAATACTGCAAAATTCAATCCTTGATCAGTTTTCTCCAAGTTTGACACCTGTGTATTGGCATTGTCTTGTGGATACAAAGGGGGCCTCATGCTAAACCTGACGAGCTCAGGGAGTCCACACAGAAGAAAAGTCTTACAAACTCAGAGACTAAAAGTAGTCTGAACACAAAACTTCTTAACTAAAAGCACGAAGGGGGGGTCACCGCATTAGTCACGTCCTAGGCCTGTAGCTTCCTTGACAAAGGTCAACTGCACCTAAGTGGCCTGTCTGTTGTCTTTTGCATCTCAGCATACTTTTGAAATATCAGAGTCACCGTCTTTCCCAGACCCTTGGAGCAGCAGACCATAGAGCCCCTTGTTGTTTTCTTGCCCCTTGTTTACCATCTCCATGTGCCATAAATGTTTGCTATCCTGTACCCACCAATGTGGTAGAAGTATGTAGCTCTTTTATTTTTTGTCCATTTCTAGAGATTTCTTTGCTTTGCTTTCTCCCACTCGCTTAGCCTACCATCAGTGGATTTCATGTAAACCTCATTACATCTCCTCCTTTGATTCTAACGTATAAAATTAGCTGCAAAACCACTATTTTTCTGGAGTATTTTTTAAAATCCATTGAGATTTTTTTTCCTGGCGGTTGTTGTCCATTTGGCTCAAATAAACTCATAAAAATGCTCTACATGTTTGGATGTTTCTGATATTAACAATATTATATTTCAAGAAAAATGCCTTCAAACAATATCCTAGACAAACATTACCCTACTAAAAACAATAATACTGCTGTTTATATAATGTTTTATGACTAACATTGGAATTTACTTGTCCCATGTACTTGTCTCTAAGCGTTAGTAGGGCAGGTCATAGAGGTCAAAGATTAATTTCCAAAGTTGAGGGGCAGGTCTGAAGTGGTACAACATTGTCCTCCTTACTGACCTTCATTTATTCACTAGTTCCCTTAAGAAACTAGCATACTGTTATGTTCTGGCATTGGAGAGAGAAAGATGATTGAGACCTTCTGTCTTTTTTTAATTCACAGTCACAGTGGAAGAGCTGGCATTCTTTTCCTCTAAATGTTTTCTTATTCATCTGCGGATCCACTCAGAACTCCTTGTGGAATCATGTCTATTTGGAGAGGCAGAAGCTCTGATCCCTGCTGGCCCTTTCCTGATCCTTCACCTTTTAATTCTTGAACTTGGTGAAGAGCACACCTTGTCCTTTTCAAGAGATACGTAACTGAATACTTGGACCAGCTGGGGATGCTGGCTCTTGCAGCAACATTTCCAGCATCTGTAAGCGGAGTTCTGGGGAAGATTCGATAACTGATTGGTGATCCACAGGTCCTGGGATGGGACTACAGTTTGGAAGTCAATGGGTCCAACTTTCAGACAACCAAATTTCGGAAGTGGATGGGGAAGGCAAAGCACCCTTTATGAAAGCACCAAACTTCTGTACATACCTTGGGAACATTGGAAGGACCCTGAAAAGGAGATGTTAGAAATTCAGTATGTAGAACATTAAGGTCCCAATAGGCCTTTTGATGATTACGGTGTTAGTGAAGAAAATAGTGGCCAAGGTATCCCACAGCCTGCAATGTTTATCCTGCCTTTGGCTGGAAGCTTTGCTGCTGCTTTCAGGTTCTGTCTAGCTTTAGCCACTCCGGACAGCAAGCAGTGAATGGGAAAAAGCTTGAGCTTTAGATCCAAAAGTAAGAGAAATTCCTTGTATCAGTCTATGCAATCCTAGGGGTTAATGATTACTAACTTCCCGAGTTCTAAGACAATGCGATGTATAAATGAGGGGTCTTGCCATCCACTCTCTCAGAATCCGTGGAGAAGGGGTAGGGACAAGACGGGGATAGAGTGTCTGGGACTCACTCCAGGCTGTGCCAGGGTCTTGGCTGAATGGGACTCTCAGGGTGGAGGAGCCAGAGCGGCTCCCCAGCCTGCGTCCACTCCTCCCACCGCCGGTGGCGGCAGCCAGGAGGCCACCCGCTGGCGGGAAGGGGCCTGGAAACCTCAGAGCCCAGCGGAGAAAGAGTGCCTTGTTCCGCAGCAGCCCCCCGAGGGCTTCCCCCCCCCCCGCCCCGCCCCCCGCCCTCCCAGAAGCCAGACATCCCCGCCCCGTGCCCCACTTGCCCATCTGTTCAGGCGGTTCTTTTTGTCCTGGCTCTGAAAGCGTTAATCCGGAGCTTTTTCTACCGGTATTCACCTCCCACCCCCACTGCTCTCTTCCCAAGGTTCCTAAAAAAGGTGCAAAGTTTCGTGCAGATAGGGAATGAATGATCAAAGCCAAACGGATACTTCCTGTTGCAACACTATATATAACGCGGTGACTGCACGGGCTAGGCTGCGGAGACGCACGGAAGCGCTTTCCCCGCAGCTGCCGCCTCCTCCAAGCGCCTGAGGTTTCCCGGGGACCACAATGAACAAGTTGCTGTGCTGTGCGCTCGTGGTAAGTCCCTGGCTCAGGGAAAGCTGGTGCTTGCGCCCCGGGCGTCTGTAGAGGCTGCCGGCCTCCCGGTCTCCCGGCTTCCCCGCACAGGATGGGGACAAAGCCCAACTCGCTCCCCTCCGTGAAGAGATTTGGGGTCAATTTGGAACAGGAGACCTTTTTCAAGCTGAATGTGCTTTTCCAAGGGTGCCCCTTTACACTGGAAAGTTCCTGGTAGGTTTACGCAGAAGAGAGGAGCTGTAGACCTTTCAAGTTTAAAAGATATTTATCCGATTTACTTACTGTTTTTTCATCTCAGATAACTAACGCTCTCACATAGTTCATACCATCTTTACTTAGTTAACTTGGACGTTATCATTATTATTAACAATAAGATAGTCCTTAGAATCAGAGTAAGTGGGGAGGAGATGACCTGAAACTATTGTAATTAGAATAAACTTTGGATACAGTTATGTGATTGATACATTAGGCTCATCCTCCACTTAAACAAATGTTATAGGAAATTTTGAATAATTAGCACAAGAGCAAAAGATCACACACATACACACACACACTACATAACTGTGAATTTAACATGTTAATAAAATTTTATGAAAATGGTTTATTCCAGTTCTCAATGCCAAAGAATAGGGAAAATATTGGCGGGCTAATGTTAATTATGTTCTAAAATATATTTAAATAATTGAAATGGAGCACTGCATAGGGCTAAAAGTTATTTTTAACATACTGTTAGGAGAAAGTTTGGAGAAGAATGGAGTCTCTGTGACTTGGTTTAGCTTATTTTAAAAAATAGATATTTAACCAATTAAGTGAATAAGATTTGAAGATTATTCTGTGACCAGTGACTCATTTCCTCTATGGTACTAAAGTGAGGGATAGATTGAGATATGAATCAGACATTTACAAAAGGATAGGAAAACCGATATTTAAGCTACATATTGTTTTGAAGTGTTGGAGTAAATTCTTGCACTTTAATATTCAACCCACAGTGAATGGAAGGCTAGGAAGTCTTCCAATTAGTTTCTGAGATACACAAACTAGCTAGCTAACTAACTAAATAATAGGAAAGTCACTAAAGAAAAAGTAGACTAGTTGGGAGTCCACATTTAAGTATGCTAATTTTACGTACTGTCACATAGATATAAAGATATAGATATATCTCCACCAACATAGATACTATGAAGAATTCTTTAAGAATAAGCCTTTGTTAACACACGCAGAGAATTACCCAAATCATAAAGCCTAATGAAGTTTTTGAAAGTGAACACTTGTGAGCTAGCACCCCGATCAAGCAACACTATATTAGCAGCCCCCGGGAAGTTCCCTGGGCTTTCTCTATGTCACTATTATATTCACGGACAGAGTAATCAATATTCTGACTCCTAATACCATAGGTGAGCTTTGCTTCTATTTGAACTGTATGTAAGTGGACTTTATGCCCTTTTTTTGTGCCTGGCTGATTTCACTTAAAGTTTTATTGTTGAGATCATTTTCATTGCTGGGTGTACAGTAGTTTGTCCACTTTTGTGTTGTATAGTATTCCATTGCATGGGCACACCACAGTTGATTTAATCATTCTACCTTTTGGCTAATATAAGTAATCCTGCTTTAACATGGGAACACTTTTATTCTTCTTAGCCTTTAATATTCTCTCAAAGACTTAATTAATGATGTACATATTGCCAATGACTTAAATTTCAGAATTTCCACTAAATAATTTAGGTACCAAATAATGTATTTATAAATAATAAATAGACAAATGCTTTGCTATATAGTCTGTATAGAAGATAGATATTTATGTAGATAATACTAATTATAGATGATACGGCATTATCAAAAGAGAAAACTTTATGTCATGAACACAGTAAATTAAATGGGAAAGATTTCCCTTTCCCTTTTGGTAGTTTTTGAGATTGACTTTATGTTATAAATGACTGGAAACAGACACTTTGTAGTTACACCTAAAAAGCCCAGATGCCCTTTTGTAAATAGAGGTGCAGTTCTAGGAACTGGAAGTAATACTATGTACCAGCCATGCGACTGGGCACTAGAGACAGAGGGAAAACGAGATGGGCACCATTCCATGTGCCCATGGACCCCACAGCCTAGTGAAGAAGCAGATAGTGGACAAATAATTGTACAGGAAATGAGAGTTACAAATGAGCAAGTGCCAGGTGACTTGCGAATAGAAAAGACCCTGTCCTCTGGGACTTGTAAGGGAAGTCGCAGTGCAGTGGTTAGCAGGTGGAGCAAAATCAAATACCAGTACCACCACTTACTTGCTAAATTATGGTGGGCAAATTACATCTTTTGTGAGTTTTAGTTTTCTCTTCTTGAAAATAAAGATAATGATAGGCACACATGCTAGATAACCACAAAAAGTTCCAGCTTTATATTAATCCCAGCTTCTAGATGATGCTCACTGATAACTGTAGGACAATCTACAACCAAGTGGATTATGTATACGAAGTGCTGATGATGCTCTGAGGAGGGAGAAAGGGCCCCTAACTATTACCTGGAAGGAGGAGTAGAATGTTTCATTATTGGAGATAAAATCAAGGTGCCCTGAAACCCAAGAAGGGAGAGAAATAAAATTCAGTGGCAAAGTAGAATTCTAGACTCTTTTATGAGAGCAGAGGGTATGCTGGTGGGCAGCAGTGAGGGGGTGTGAGCACTGAGGTCAATGCCATGGTTCTGGGCTTTCTGGAATGCTCACTAATGGAATTAAGCAGAGAACCTCTCTGCAAGGTGAGGTAGTCACATCAGCAAGTCATTTCTTTCATGGTTGCATGGGGACCACCTCATACTGCGAACATCCTGGCCTTGGCTTAGGTTTTCAACTGGGTGGCTGAAACTCTCCCTCCTAAGTGCCAGAACCATCCATTGGCCTTCTCTATGCTCAGCCCTGAATTAATGTGATGATACTAGGACTTTGGGTAGGCAGGAGAAGGGGTAGGGGGTCCTAGATGCTTTTTCTCAGAACAGTTTGCCTGATCTGTTGATCCTCCTTTAGGCTATTGCTCTTTTTGATTTTTGGTCGTTTACTTTGGTTTCCTCCTCCAATCCCCATGGTTGAGTGTGCGTAGTTCTCTAGCCCTTTTGTTTGTTTGTTCCTTTTAAGAGAATGATCACTGTAAAGTTTCTAGAAGGACCCGACATATACTCAGTCCAAAACAGCCCCAAACCCTGTCCCTAGCAACCTTCCTGGCCTCTGTTGCTCAGAAACCTTCAGCACAGTTCCTAATTTCAATCTGGTCTTTAATTTTACTCCTTAGGCTTAAACCACAGTTGTCATAGTCCATGGGTAGGGAAGAAGGCTTCCCGTGCCAGATGTTTTTGTCTACTTAGGTCTAGAAGGGGAGCTATGGCAATGTCTATCAAAGGGACACTAAACCCACATTCAAGTCTCCTTGCTCTCCTAGTCACTGACTCACCTACTGGGTTTTGCTTTAAGCAACCCTCAGCCTCCTGCCTTCATGTTCCCTTTTCAGAAAACTTTCTGTGAAAAGCATTCTTCCCATTAGCATCTCACTGACCAGCAGCATTTCCTTTAGCTTGAGTTTCTGCTCTGTATCCAAAAAGAAGAGGACTGGGAAGTAGATTGAAAAAAGATTAGTCAAGACCTTTGACTCATGATGCTTGGCTGTCCCTCATGTTGTTACTATAGGACAGAGATGCCAAAATTGTCGGTGAAACTGTATGTTTTACTTTGTAGGGCAGTGGTTCTCAATCATATCAGATTTCTTCCAAGCACCTGTAAAGTAAATCCTTTGTAACAACTCCCTTACTCTTCTGAAATGAAACTCTGAGTACATATACTATGTCTATATACATATTTTTTAAAAGTCAATACACCAACATAAGTATACTATACAGGAGAAGTAAAAAGAAAGTAATTTATAATAAAGTAAGCTTCACTAGAAGACATAATGAAATAGTAATATGTTGGCAGCTTTATATACAAGTGCCATGAATGCACCATGACGAAGAAAGACTAGAGCACATGTGTCTCATTGGGGCTCAAAGCTATGATCAGCATTGGCTTTGGTGCTGTGATTTTCTGAAATGGTGAACAAATCTTGCTAAAGTTTTAAACAAAACAAAGTACAAGCTTCTATCAAATTTTATGTCATTGAATTCTTGAAAAATTCAGTATGTATAAAAAGCATGCAAAAACCACTTTGTGTCTACATGAAATGGAGTTAAAATCTAGGCTCAGGTAATAGTAAACAGGCTCTTTACTTAGATCACTTGTATCAGTTGTCAATAGGCCATTTGAAAGTGTGTGGGACATGGGCTTATTCTTGATCATTGAGGACGTCTAGCAGTCCTCCTGACAACAGAAATCCTCTACAAATTTCCAGAACTTCCAGGGGATAGCGCCACTCTCAGAGTGAACAAAGTCTGAGCTTTTTGCAAACACAGCTTTCTATCTTCTTCATGTTTATACCCCTCAGGTCTCCACAGTGACACTAAATATGTGTTTGCTGAGTCAAAGGAGCTAAGGTGAGATTTGTTGGTGTGTTGTGTAATCTACCAGCAATTTCCATGGATGTTCCAACAGCATTAAGCTTATTGCCAGAGACTACCCACCTGACCAATAATTAAATATTATTTTGTTCATTTTTACTATTAAGTTCATGAAGGCCCATTCTCAGGCAAAAAAAAAGAAAGCCAAAAAACAAAAATGAACTGGTTCATATATTGACCCTTGGCGGTGCTGCCTAAGCTCAGTGAACCTGGGTCTGACCATCCCATCTAGTTGATTCACGTGTGAAGTGCTCATTTTTTGGTTTTAATACATTTTATATGTTTGTAAAATGTGCCAGTGGAGATATCAAGTAGGCGTTTAGATTATGAAAAAATTGGAGCTCAGTAGGAACTTGAGCTGGATATAAAAAATCTACGTTATCAGCATAGAGCGGGTTTTTGAAGCCATAGGGGGAAGGATGATTTCACGTGGCAAGAGAGGAGAGAAAAGGAAGCAGGTCCAGACCACA